ATTTTCATTTTTTGATTTCTCTTTTAGTTTCCTTTCAATATTAGTCATTCAGTTTTGTATCGCAAATTGTATGAAGCTCAGTTTCGCCTCAGTTTCGTGTTTATTTTGATTGAAGTGTAAGCGCGAAATATTCAAGTGGGGCAAAACAAACCGCCATCAAAAATCATTTCAAAATAATTTGGACAAGCTAGTTGGTCCCACGCATTGTGAACTTAAATTTTGCTCAAAACAATTTGGTTTTATCAATCAGAAGTACTTGAGATGAAATCAACAGGTGTAATCCCTCACGCATTATGCTAGAAAACATGTCAAAGAGTTGGAAATCAGCATCAAATAATTGAAAAAAAACACGCAAATTGGTCAGTTTGAGACAGTTTGATTATTTGTGATTGGCTGACAATTTTTCGAAATCAATGGACTTTTGTATAAAAAAACTCTTGAAATCGAAAATTAACATGAATCATTACATGTATTATGATGTTCGACCATAAATATTAAACTCAGGTGGCTGCAGGCTCGGATAGATGATAAAACCATTTCAGATAGATGGTCAATCGTTAAGTCTGAGTCTGAAACTAAGCACACCCAGATTCAAGAGTACCAAATTTCTCGTAAAAAATGAACGCAATGGAATTGTTTGATGCAAAAGATACCCCTGACAGTTTAAATTTTTGAACGATTGAAGAAAATAGGCCTAAGAAGTTCAGTAAAAAAATGGTAAAATTTTTAATTTCTTCTTATAAAATGAGTTGTTAAAGGGTGGCCATGCGAAGTTAGAGCAGTCTAATAAATATAGCTAAGCCCAAAACATGTAAGCAGACATTTAAAAACGCAAATTAATCTCGTAGTACTTTTCCAAAAAAAAAATTTGACAGATTGGGCCCGAAATTTCAGTTAATTACTTATCGACTGATTAAAATTTATCAATGATAAGGTTTACTAACCAAACGTGCTTCTAAAAATTACATCATCTCTTTTTTTTGTAAAACGTGTAAAAAAGTCAACAAGAAGAAAAGTACTCAGCGGCTGATACCATTCCTATCCTTCTTGCCGCAGATCATAAAAGTTTTGTGAATTTATATTTCCTGTGACGCGCCTGGACTTCACCACTGCTGATCCCATAGCTTTCCATTCTAGCCGGTTACGGAATGCTATCTACAAGAAACTCTTGTTTGCCTCTCTAACAAATCTTTTCTGAAAACTAGAAAACGACTTATCTCACTTGATTGTTTGACGCTTCATAGATAATTACTTAAACGCTTTAGGCTTAGCCACAATCTCTCGGAACCTCAGTAAAGAATCCGTTTTCTACATTAAAAATGGACTGTTGCAAGCCGACTATAATTGTCCATGAAACTCGAAGGATTGATATCATCTTGTTTGATTGCAGCTTCCTTGATCTCTGGACGATGCTTTTTCCAGAGCTGCCTCTCTGTCGATACTTTTTTTTTCAGTCTTCTTTACAGCTAGAAATTGACACTCGAAACTGCACACACTTCACAGAACTCGAACTTGCCCTTAATTACAACTGATATTAAATCCTGCTTGTTGAAAAATCCGTTTGTTGGCGCTACAAAATACATCACCGATCTTTGTTTGTTTTTATTGATAGAAACATCGGTCATCCTTGACCTTGCAGTCCAGGAAGTTGAGATTGCCACATTGCTCAGAAAAAGCTTTCCTGCCTTTGGTTGTTGTAGATAAGAAATATCTGCATAAAAATTGAAACTTGAGCCACCGCTGACTTATGCTAATCAGTTTCATAGTGAGGCTCGGTACATACAGCCTATCGTGGAAAGTGTAGCTCCTCGCAGCATTTTGTCTTAATCTGATATGCTTTCCCACTGAGGACTCGCCCTCACTTTGTAATATTCTGCCGTTTGGTTTCTCTTCTCTTGACTTTTCTTCCCGGCTCTCATAACGAGAAAACTCAATCCTGTCGTGCATTATAAGACCAGTGCACCCGGTGCCCATAATGAGGTCAACTCTTTTAGTTGAGGTTGCTGCTCAGCATATGTTAAATCCAGTCTTTCCTGCTTGCAATCGTTTTCAAGTTTTCCAGGTTGCCCAGCTTGAAGCACCTTAGCTTCTTTGCCGGTGGTCCACTTGGTTCGGCCCACCATCTTGATTACTATCTTTCAGTTCCTCTTTAAATGCCAATTTGACCACAAAGATTGCTTTCACTAATTCTGGTACCTCGCAGCCTCCCTGGTTATGTGACAATGGAAGATTTAAAAGGCACTGCACCATTTTCCCCCTCTAGAGAAAAAATTTTGAATACTTAATAAAAGATTTGCTGTATAATTGAAGTTTTTAATAAAATACTGATAAGTTTTGAACGATGAGTAAAGTATCAAATAAACACTTTAAGGCCAACAGTTTTGTTTAAGTGTTTTACTCCGAGATCATTTTTCTGATCGACGAATTTATTTCTCCCCAGATGGCAGGAAAAAGTAGAAATCGACATAATTCTTTTATTATGGATGCAGCTGCGCAACCCGACCTACTAGATGGACCAGAGTCGGCCTCTCAATGCCGCAAAATTTTTATTCATTTATTCATTTATAAATTTATTTGCCTTGGTGTGAAACAGCGCCAAACATTACGTCGATCTCGCTGGAAAAATATTCCTTGTTCACTACTTCAAGTCTTTTCTCACTAAAAACTACCCATTGAAATTCGAAAATTTTACAAATTAACAAAAGTAAAAAAAAAATTGAAAATCTGGATCCATAATTTGTAGTATTAGTTACAATTAGTAGGATTGAGGAGTTGCGGTTAGAAATGGGGATTTGATTTAAAGTTTTAACAGATGTTTGATAAAATGCAGCGAAGGTCTTTAGAAACTGAGGACCCAAAATGACCAGTTTAGCCATTACTACACAATGTCTATTTTAAGAGCACTCTTTAACCTTATCTAATGAATTTAATGACTTTATTGAGGTCTCCTCAAACTGAACCTCAAACACCTATTGAGTCTGACCTCAGCAATGACTGCTTAAGCGAAGCGAAAACGAAATTTGCATGATAATTGTTTAAGAACTGTGCGAATAGAGAGCCAGGGTTTTGATGTTGATTCATTCTGGAACGGGAGTACAAAAGAAGTTTGTCGACCATTACTGGCTGTTTCACTTATGATAGGCATAAAAAATAAATTATGTAAAAAGAAGTGAACAAAATTTTAATTCAAAATTAAATAAAAAAGAGCAAAAGATATATTTCAATTGTGATTTTTAAACCAGTTTTTAGACAGAATTAGTGTCTCAAAGAAGCCTATAATTTCCAATGGGTGCGAAAAAGTGTTCGAAACGGCAGACTGCTCTTGTTGATTAATTCTGTCTCTAAGGGTTAAATTAGCGCTGTATCAATCTTGAACCGTCGCAAAGGCGCATGAAAGGCGCAAGCACTTAAAAGGCGAGGAAACATGAAAACTGAGGCGAAGGCACGTAAAAGTTGATAATTTTTCCGAAGTTTGATCGCCTTGCCTTTTACATAAGCTACACTTATTATCTATACGCCTTATCTTTGGTACGAATCTAAAATTTACGAGGCTAGCTAGCTGGTTTTTTTTAAAATAGCTGTAAAGATGAAGATGCAAAGTTTTAAAAAAGATGATTTGAAACCAGTAAGCTCGTGTTCAATGATTTAAGTAATCTTTGATCAACAAAAAATAATGATTTGGTCGTCTTTTACGATTAAATTTGTTTGTAATTTCGGCCGACTACCCCACCTTTGAAAGTAAGCACGCTCCTGAAAAACGCGACTTTAGTTATAAAACTTACATGATTAACAAATCGTATAAGCATGAATTATGCGTTTACGATTTGTTAAACTTTTTTTCGGTTAATCAGAGAAATGCGACAGATGTTTTGAATTCTATGTCCTCGACAAAAAACTTTGCGGCGTATAACACAAGAGTTTCAATCGGATATTCTTTACTGGAACCAGTCCAAAACAAGTATTTATTATATCCTATTATATCCTTGATAACTATCTCTGAAAAATACTTAGAGCTAACCAATCATGATCCATGACTAAAACTTACAATAAGTTGTAAGGCTGAAACTATTTATAGTTTCAGCCAGAAGAGAGTAAATTTAAATTAGCAAACAGTTGCTCTTCCTCAGAACAGTGCTTGATTCTAAACCTCGCAAATACCAGTATACGCTAGATCTATTGAGACTAGAAGATTAAGAGTAAGATTAGGATTGGTATTAGACTAAGAAGTTGCACGAATCTATCCGGCCGAAAATAAGATCCGGCGTGACGAACAGACGGTGTACCTTTTCCAAAATTACTCTATGAGAAAGCCACCTCGGTCTTAAACTCATTACAGAGTTGCAAATCTAGCGCGAAAAAACGCCCCTTCAAATCCTTGTAAATTTCATTCCGAATTTTTTTCTTTCGTCTTGTTTGCTAAGCTGATTTACCTGGGAAAAATGTAGCATTTAGGACTGTCGATGATAGCGTGACGCCTGCTTCTGATCTGGATAAAATAAGTAAAATGAGTCTCTCCAATTCAATTTTTTTCTCATTTCGTTTTTTTTCTCTCATGAACTTAAGTAACGTTACTTAATTGACTATCGGGTATACCTTCAGTAGGCGCTCATTGTGCCTTTAGTCTATACCATTCAGTTTCATTTAATCAAATGTGATGACATTTTCAGTTATCGAATTAAATTTAAATGTTCATTGTTGAATATTTGCTTTAACATCATACTGGATAAAAAATTCTTTCTTTCTTTCTATATTTCTTTCTACGAATAATTTGCCCTAAAACGACATTTCTGACTGACCTAAAAAAGTGTACAAAGTTTCCGAAAATCTTTTTAAAAGACAATAACCCACCCCCCCCCCCCCCCATCGACAAAAAATATCTTGCGCACGCCATTGTGTATGCCATAACATACTGTAAGCTGCACCTGACCTTAAACTGTCACACTTCCAAAGTATAAATGTTCGAACCATCACCTTAACTTATAGTTTGTCTCTTTTTCCAGCTAGCATCTTTCCCCAGCTCATGTGTGAGTACATATTATAAATATATCAGATCATATTCGCATTTATTTCACCTCGTTAAGTTCTTCATTCGAGCTGCATATGCGCACAGCTTTCTATAATTTCTATTTCAGTTGCGTAATCATGTCTGTAACTGTTACGTTATCAGTGACACTAATTCACGCAGCTGCACTGTTCCCTATAGGGTGGTGCGTCCATTGGCATGTGACTCAATTAGCACAGGCACTGCACAATTTGAGCCAAAATACAAGTGTAAGATTTTTATGAATTGTATGGTGAGAAAAAATAAAAAGTATTTTGCTACCCATTACCAGTTCTTAATTCCCTTTGGAAATCTTCAAAAAGATCTCTTGCACAGTATTTTATTCAATATCGGATCTCGTGATTTCAAAAACCCTCTCAAATAGCAACCCTATCTTGGGAACTTATATTTCGCCGCTGATTGTAATTTTCATCTTTTGCATTGCCGTATAATTGAAACACATGCTAATCGCCACACCCTTTCCCTGTTTTTAGTTTTCGTCGTTGTTGGGTATGACGGCGTTTTTGTTAGAAGTTACCTTAGTGTGTCGTTAATGCTAAATTGTTGGCACTATATTCTTTTCGGTCAAAGAATCTGAACGAAGTCAAGTAACCTAAAACTGCTCATTTAGACATCGAAAATTAGTTTTCACTCATTTGAGCCGTGAAATATGTCGAAAATCTAATCAAACTGAAAACATCGCTATTTCAAATATTAGTTGTGCGAGACCACCGAAAAGGCCAACAATTTGACATTTTCTATATTTCTGACTTTAATCTGCGAATACCTATATCTAGCTGGATTTTTTGAAACAAGTTTTTAAATAAATTTTGTTTGCATGACCTTAAAATTGCTGAAAACTCGGCTGATTAGCATAGAGAAAAATTTAGGTTTTCATAGCTGCTTTAATGAATCTGCTTCGCAAAAAAAAACACTCTTGATCATAGCAAACTTTTTATAATTAAAAAATTAGATAGTTTAAAATCCAAAAAATTTGAAGTCTACACTTTTTCTATTTTCAGCAGCACGCACAAGCGCAGTTGCAGCAACGCACGGTCTCTTGAGAGGGGTGAGTGGACAGAGCGATCCGAAAGCAAACAACACTTCTCATGCCGAATCGAAAAATTCAGTCGGAGCATTCTCAATGAAAATTGAACCTCGAAGGGAGGAATTTAGCTCCAAGTACACGAATCCTACCTACATGCACAGGAAGAGTATTGCAATTGACGAGAGAATCGATTCGATCAAAGATTTGAAGTCGGGGCACACTTCCGAAGACAACGATTTCGGATTGCCGAGTAATCAAAACCGAAAGCAACGAGGACGTTCGGATACTCTGATCCCGCTTCCTTCATCTTTGGGCGATCAGACGTTACTATCAATGCATCACTTAACATCGAATCCACTGGAGAGTAGTCCAATCAAGAGGTTCCATAGCACTTCAGGCGTCCCGAAATCACGGAACCCCCTACTAGGCTCAGAACTTGACGACAACATTTTGAACATCTCTGATCGAAATGCCGAGAGTACGAATTTAGAACTGCCGAATGAGTTGCGGAATAGTCTAAGCATGATGTGTATTGTTTCGGATGACGATGAAATGCGTTCGGTTTACGGATCAGAAGATGAGATTAATAACCTAGTTAGTGATTTTAGGCCCTTGGATATCTGCAGGACAAGTGGTAGTTCTTCCAAGAAAGTTCCGCTGCCGCACTACACGCCTAAACACAAAGACTTTTTTGAACAGACTTTGAAACGGAAAAGTTCATCGGAAAACTTCAAATCAACCCCACCAAAAACAGTGCTGCCTCAAAACTCATACGAAGCTGATATCAATACCTTTTTTACACCAGAACTTAATACCATTTCCAAAAACAGTAGCAATGAAGACAAGTCGCCTATTTTGGAGGTGCCCATCATTTTTGATCACGACAGTAGTTTAGCTAACGGGCAGGTTTGTTCAACAGCTAACAAAGGATCGACAAGACCAACTTTGCCAGGTTTTGTGAGCAAAGATGCACATCAGTCCAATTATCATCAACTGAATAAATCACCAAAGGCTTTTTACAACACGCATTCCAGTTTTGCTTCGGGTCGACAACACATTTCGATTCCGAGTAATAACTCGCTGAAACACTTGCTGGAAGAACCAGAGTATGAGTTCTCAATCGATCACGAAGACTTAAACTTGAGTAGGTCTGCAATAAACGATTTAATTTGAGTTTAATTATCAATTGAAATTAACATTTTTAATTTTAAGGAGTCTCGATTTAGTATAATCTTCGAAATCAGTGTCTAAGTATTTTGAATTAAAAAGATTGGCTTGCGAAATTCGGAACAAAAATTTTACCCCAAAAATGGGTCACTTTAATTTTTTCTAGTTAATCAAGAATTACCTTAGAACTACCGAGTTAATTGATTAGATATTAACATCAAAAGGAGCCTCTTACACAGCCCAACAAAGTTAAATGTAAAGCAACTTTTCTTCTCTTCGCTTTTTGTCTATTCTTAAACTGAATTAAGAAAAACTCGATTAAAGCTTCCAATGATGTTCGTTCTGTCCAGACAATTTCCCGCACCCAACGGAGGCTGTTTTTCTAGATAGAAATTTTAAGTAAATTATCTAGCCTAGTTTTCTCGTATTTTCCGTGCTGAAGTGATCTATTTCTTTTTCAGTTTAGAAATAAACCCTTTCTGGAAAGAAACAACCAGAAATCAGTTCACTGATCAACCGCAACGAGATAAACATGCTTCGAGAATATACAATAACAGTAGCAATACAATGAAAACTTACACTTGTTATAACACATCTTATTTTGATAAAACTAGGAATATTCATCAAGGCCTGTAACCTTTTGAAAAAAAGCAAACGTCTAGACAGCACAGCGTCAGGTGTTTGAACCCCACCAGGTACCCTTTTTCTAGCTAGAAATAGCCTAGATTAAGCTAATTTCTGATCAGAATTAGGACGAAAACTAAAGAATGTTAAGAAAATCCATGCTTTATTTAAACGTTTTAAAAAGAATTTATGAGCAAAAATTAGATAAGATAAAAAATATTTCAAGTTAGAAATAAAAAATTTCTCGAAACGGGTTGGCATGGCGACAATTCATCGCCCGCGACTATTCGCAGCACGCGACAACTCGTAGCAAGCGACAATTAGTAGCAGTACAAAATACAATCAGATCAAAAGGAATTAAATGAAAGGGTTAAATTAAAAAACAAAGAAACTAAAATTCAAAACTGAACGAGAGGCTCTCATGTAGCTTAAGAAAATTATTGCTGCTACAACGTTTAGGTAGTTCAATTAATCTGGCTTGACATTTTTGTACTTTGCCACCTTGACGGCTTTTTCTCCGGCGACTATTCTTGCCAATGTATTTTCCGACAGACTTTGTTTTTTTTCAGGAATTGGATAAATTTGTGAATGCTGGCGTGAGCACTCCTAATCATCCTCTGGATGGCCCCATCACAGTCTGGAAATTTTGTAACAGGCCAAAAAAGTTTTAACCCCCCCCCCCAAAAAAAACCATCAGTTTTTAAAAAAATTAGCCTCTTTGAGGGGTTATAACTTTTCCTCTGGGTGTGGTCGGTTTTTGCCCACAGAAACGCACGTCTTGCAGTCATGCTAATTAAGGGTTTCTACAACAAATTTTTTTTTACATTTTTTGGTTTTTATTTCAAAACTGGAGCCAAATTGAAAACTTTGATCACTCGTTGGATTGTAATCCCCCCACAACCATCGCAAAACATTTTGTTAAAGTCGCATTGTTTTTTAATACCCCCAATTAGCAATTATTTGTGCTGCTAATTGTCGCTTGCTACGATTTTACGCTTGGTGCGAGTTTTCGCCTTGTAAAAAGGCAGCGAATAGTCGCTTGCGATCAGTCGTCGCTTGCGACAAATTGTCGCCTCACGGGATAACTTAAATCAGCATTATATAAGCTGCTCAATAAAAACTAAAAATTTTGTTCATTTTGACCTCTTATTTTTGGCTAATAAAATTTGAAAAAGGTGGTCAAAAACTTTTCATTAATACTATTTTCTCACTACTGCGTTCTTTTGTTTATTAAATTTGCATAAAATCAGGTACAACAAAAAACATCACATGATGTGAGTGATATATCAAAATGCCGCTCCTCAGAAACTGTTTGTTGATAATTGAGAACACTGAAAATAGTTTTGGTCTTTAAAAACTCATTTTGAGTTTTTTTTAGAAAGCAAGAATCGGTCGGTGCCGCAATTACTTGCAGCAAGGCAGCAAAAGACACCAAGCATCTAAGAAACACGCTAAGAAAAAGGACATCCTATATGAATTGATTTTTAAAAATCTGAATCTTAAAACTCTTTTTCTTTTAAAGTTCGTTGAAAATTTTAGAAAACTGACAGGGATTCCATCTCACTAAATTGTAGCTTAGTTCCTATCGTTGCAAAAAGGAACATTGATGAAAATTTAGGAATAGACAAAAAACAAAGAGAACAAAAATTGTTAGAACGTTACCCGAAATAAAATGAAGCTGTTATTTCGCAAAATTTGGAACCAAAGTTTTTTCCCAAAATGGGTCAGCTAATTTTTTTTAGTTAATCAAGAATTGCGTAAAAACTGCCAGGATGAAAAAATTGTTTAAAGTTTCTAATAATGTGCGTTCTGTCCAGATAATTTAAATCAGCAATGTATAAGCTGCTCAGTTTAAAATAAGTTTCGTTCATTTTTGAACTCCTTTTATACACAATTTCAATTTTTTACTATCAAGCCTTGAAAAAGGTGGTAAAATATTTTTTATCAAAACTATTTTTCTTACTACTTTTGTCATTTTCTTGGCGTAAAATTAGCTACTAACAAAAAACATCAGATGAAGTCTAGTGATATGTCAAAATGCCGTTCTTTCAGAAATTGTTGATTGATAATTCAGAAAACTAAAAATATCTTCTGACCTTATCAAACTAAATTTAATCTTTTTTTTCAGAAATATTTCAGTCGGTACAGCCATTACTTGCAGCAAAAACGTCAAGTATGGAAAAAACACAAAGGCAAATGACAACCTGTAAGAATTGATTTTTTAAAAAAAATTTAAGAGTTAGATTTAAGATCACCGTTGGGACAAATGGCTTTCAATTTCGTCAAAAAAATGTGGTGGTACGAGTTATGGTTTATTGTGTGCTGCCTTTTATTGCGAATTGTCGTATTACGGATCATTAAGGTGGTGCCATTTCAAAGTCAAGGTAAAATTAAACTACTAAAAAACTAACTTAAACTTATTCATACGTCATAGCAGGGGTGGATCTAGGATTTTCTCAATGAGAGGGGTGCGGATTTGTAAAAAAATCGGTTCTTTTTTTTTGGTTTGTTGACGAAACTGTTTTTTAGCGCTCCCAAAGCATAAAAAAGACCTTGTTTTGGGTCGCAGGCGCATTTTTAAACCAACAGGCCAAAAAGCGGTTTGGGCACGTTTTGGGAAATTTTGACCAAAAATTTGCGTTTTTTTAGCGCGTGCTTCAACCTTAAAAATTTTATATAACGGCGCCGCAGTTGATCTTAAAAACATTTTAAATCTTAAGGGTCCGTCACTCAAAATTGAATATCTCAAAATAAAACAAAGGAGGACTCATTTTGTGTTGGCTTGGGTTCGAATTCTTGAGTGGGAAGCTTCCGCCCCCACTAAGTCCGCTACTGCGTTATTGTATTAAGATCAGCTACTGCGTTATAGTAATAGAGCTATTCAATTTTGAAGGTTTAGCCATTCGCCACCTGCTCCCAGCCACAAACATATGCAAATTTTTTTTAGCACGACTTTTTTTCTCATTTTTGAGAAATATTTTGATAATAAAACTGATTATAAAATTTTGTGCTAGTTGTACATCAACTGGTTATTCTTATTGATTGAAGCTATGGAAAACTCCCAACATGAGAAAAACGCGTTTAAAGTTTCTAATAATGTACGTTCTGGCCAGATAATTCAAATTAGCAATGTATAAGCTGCTCAGTTTACCCTAATAGTTTCGTTCATTTTTGACCTGCTATTATTTCAGAGTTCATTTTTTTTACTAACAAGCCTCGAAAAAAGTGTTAAAATACGTAATAATAAAACTATTTTAATTACTACTGTGTTTTTTTTGTTTTTTTTTCTTGGTTTGAGTGATATGTCATAATGCAGTTCTTTCAGATAAAGATGATTGAAAACTCAGAAAACTAATAATATCTTCTGACCTTATAAAACTTGCATTTTTATTATCAGAAAGTTAAATCAGTCGGTACCGCCATTATGCAGCAAAAACATCAAGTATGGAAAAAACACTTACGAAAAGGACAGCCTACAAAACTTGAAAACCTTTTAAATTTAAGAGTTAGATTTAAGCTGGCTGGTGTAAAAAATTGCCTTTATTCTCCATTAAAAAAAATTAATCTCCGAGGCTTAATGGCGAGTTTTCTTTTAATGGGTGCAGTTTTTTACTGCGAGTTTTTGTAATACGGATCAGGAGGTGGTGTCATTTCAGAGTCAAGGTCAATCTAAACTTATAAAAATATTAACTAATACTTCATCATGCGTCATAGCAGGGGTGGATCTAAAAAATTTTCGACGGGGCGGGTGTGTCAAAAAATTAGGATACTTTTTGACTTTTTTTCTGTCGACAAAACTTTTTTTAGCGCTACCAGTGTCAATCTAACTTATAAAAAGATTAACTAATACTTCATCATGCGTCATAGCAGAGGTGGATCTAAAATTTTTCGACGGGTGGCGGGTGTGTCAAAAAATTAAGACATTTTTTGACTTTTTTTCGGCCGACAAAAATTTTTTTAGCGCTACCAAAGTATATAAAAAGACCTCGTTTTGCTCAAATTTTTGGGCTACAGGCTTTTTTGAAACAACAGGGTGTTTTTGGGCGCTTTTCGAAAAAGTTTAAGAAAAAGTTTGTTTTTTTGAGCGTGGTTACCCCTTGAAAATAGTATAAGTTGGCGCAAAAGACGTCTCTAGAAAAGTATAAAAATTTTGGGGTCCGTCAGCCAAAAATCGATATCTCAAAATAGTACAAAGGGGAATCACTTTAAGTCGGCAGGGGGTCGAATTCCTGGTTGCGAAGCGTCCGCTTCTCCATTAAGACCGCCGCTATGTCATAGTAAAAAGATCTTAGAGCTGAGATTTAGGCAACCTCTCACCTCCCCCCACCTACACACATAGACATACACACACATACAATTTTCTTTTCAAAAGTTAGCACAAATTCTTTTTCTCATTTTTGAAATTTGTTTCGAGAATACA